GTCTACTTTCCCTACTTTTTTCATATAGAGAATTTTTTTGTTATAAAAATTACTATGTTAAAAAGATTATCAACATTAAAAGCATATTTTGTTAGTCATTATTATTATTTATTTCAATGTAAAAAATGTGTCTCTTTTTATATTTAAATAAAAAAGTATTTTAAATTGATTTGAAAACTATTTTTTCTAAATGTTAGTATAAAATTTTATTGATTTAAAATGTATATTTTCAGTGACAGTTTAAATGTTGAAGAGTTGTTGTATATATCGGATTTATTACACATTCGTTGTTTTAAAACAGAGAGACGCCAGCCTCGCTGACGTTACTTAATGTCACTTCTTTCAGTACGTTCCATGATATTTTAAAATGAAACTTCAATTATTCTTAATGCTCCTGTATTTCTCAAAGATTCTTCAGAATCACATACTTCAATGATACGCACTCACTTCAGTGAGTTCTCTCTCAATTCTCAATTCTGAATTCTGAATTCTGCCGTCGTGGTTCCAGACGTCATATATATTTATACCAAGATTTAAACATAGTTCTATTCTCCTTTTAAACAACCTTTGATTTCGTTTTACTTTTAACAATAATCATAAATACTAATGAGGTTTGATAAGAATTGATGACGGCCTCAAATTATTTTCATGTCGCATCCGTTATTAAAGCTGGTAGCGCCGATATACACTATTTAATACATTTTTAATTTTATTATAAAAAATACGTTTGTGTTTTATTAAAAAATATTTTTTGATAAATAAATCAAATAATTATTATGTCAAAAATTCACACTATGAGATTTACTCGTACATATTTATATATATACACACATGGACTAATTATTATTAAATAAAATAGAAAATCAGACAACAGACCTAACGAGTCTTTTAATTCAAATGTCAATACTATTAAAGTTAGATAAGAAAAATGAAATCGCTTGAGCAGAGAACAAACACAATAGAAAAAGCTTAAACACGATTGGCAGAGACAATAATTAGCTCTCTTCTTGAATGTGACTATAACTTGGGATGAGATTTAAAATGACTTGTATATTTTAAAATATCTGACGGTTTTGTTAGTTAATATAAGTTTTTAGCTATGATTTTGCACGGGACCACTAGTTTGTGAAGAATATATTTATAATCATATAGTTGTCATGCAATTCGGTTCATATATTTTAATCTATATATATAAAAGAAAGTCGTGTTAGTGACTCCACTTATAACTCAAGAACGGCTGAACCGATTTAGCTGAAAATTTGCAGGGAGGTAGTTTAGAGCCAGGAAATTGCAATAAGATTTTTATCCCATTCGACAGCATTCCCGTGCGACTTGACATGAAACGTCAGTCACTATAAAACGTGGAATAACGAAACACAATTGACAGCTATGCAATTGACGTATAACGACAGATATGTAATGACGTAATGACGACCATTAGATATTTGTAAGAGATCTTCTAATATATCAAAATAAGTCCGGCTTTACATCCTAACGCTATAACTTCAGAACGAACGAACCAATTTCCACGGTTTTGCATTCGTTGTAAAACATGTTATACAAATCAATATTTTAAGTAGATGGCGCCGGTGCATGACACATTGTTTGATAGCTACTCATTGTTCTCTGCTCAGTTAATTTCATGTGACAAACCGGTATTGTGTTTGTAGTTTGAACTCTTAAAACCATTTAGTATTTGCGGGATAAATTTAGAAAATCATTGTTTTTCACATGGGCAGTTATATTTTGCGTCTTCACGAGTTTGGAAACCATACGCTTTATTTGTGTTAAAGTTAGACCAAAAAACAAAAAATGTGGTTTACAAAGGACCACTTCAGTGAAACGGGTAATTTGCAGACACATATGTATAATGCTTGCATTCGGTATCTACTTTAGACTCACGTTCATTTACTTAGAGAAGTTCAACTAAATAACAGTTCATTTTTGTAATCGAAATGAATTCATTACTGTTGTGAAATTTAATAAAAAATTTCCTTTTCAAATATAAAACAAAAAAATTATTCATCTTTTAATCACCAAATGAAATGTTATATAAAAGCCTTCTGGTGGAAAACGGAGTTCGCCAGGTTTCCACCTCTTTTCGTGATGGGTTTAATTAACTCCAAATTAATACCATGTTTTAAGTTGTTTAATAAACATAATAGTCTTACGTTACCTTTCCAAGTATAACAGTTACGTATTTATTCATACATAATTGAAACGAATGAAAGAAGTGATTTCTTGCCCAAAACCCTATGTAGTGCTACCTAATGAAAAGAAAACTTGATTTCGTTAATAATGCATATCATATGATTACATTTAGCTTAAATTAAAACCTTTGTATAACTCATAACCAACGATTATGATAAATTAATTTGTATACCAAACCTAATAAATTTTAAGATTAAACGCCAATAGTATTATAATTATATTTCACTCTAAGAGGTTGATCTTTATTTTATATTCATACTAAGTATTTTTACAAAATTAGTTTGACTACAAAAGGGGTTTTTCTCCAGACCAGACATAAAAAGGTACCTTCTGAAGCTTCCACATTATCTGATAGCGAAGCAGGATTAAAGGGGATAGAATCAGAAACCTGCTGGAGTTATTTTCATTCTATTGAATAATAAAAACAATACACCATCTTATCCTTAACAGCCACGATTATAAATTAATAAGTTTAGAATTTAGCAAAAAAACTTTCGGCGTTAAAAGTATATCGCAAATTAATCATTTTTTATTTGGAAGCGCTTATTTTTGCTAAATGCATTAATGAAATAGGTAGAATGCAACATAGATAGTACTAATTAATAAAAAACTAGACCGATTAAAGGCATCGCTTTTTAAGTGGACATGGTAGTGAGTGAGACCATTAAAAATGCAATAAAAACATAAATTAAGGCATTTTAATAATTGTTTATTTAAAAAATTGCCAAATCGGAAATGAATACGGATGATTCTGATCAATTAATTTCACATGTTTAAGCGCATATGATTAAAATTTAAAACCTTAAGCCAGTGTACAAAACGGAGATTAGAAAACTTTTGAGTATTAAAAAATAAATATCATGTTGTAATATTAAACCACCTATGATCAAGAAAGATTTTATTGATTTCATTCAATCATTACGTTTCTATTGAAAAAATACCTTATGCTATGATAGTTCAAATTTGATTTCACCTTTGTTCTCTCATTGTTTATCCTCTTTTGTTTATATTATTTGAATTTCAAAACATTTAAGCAAAAAAAGGAAAAAAAAAATCTTAGAAAAAGAATATATAAATATATCTAGCTACAACCAACAAGACTACAATATATAAGAAAAATTGAAATTGAAAACACAAATAGTTCTGAAATTCATTCGAAGAACTTCGATTTCGCGCTTTCTAACTTACCTATATATAATAATTTTATGGAAACGAAAGTGTTTGGATTGCTTCATAGATTTCAATAATAGTATGTGCACAAGTTGTTCCGTCTAGATAAGATAATAAAATAGAAGTAATACGTGCTTCACCTTCACTTATTACTCTCAAATATGACTTTTAGGATAAACAATATCATATCTTTCTTTCTCCGTCTACTAATATATATTGAATTTAAAAATAGACAACCTTTTAAATACTTTATTGATCGTATTTTTAACATGTTCTTTTGAAAACAATTTGTCATTTTAATTTCTCAAGCAATTGTAGGTTTCATAAAATGTCAAATTTAAATATCAAATGATTTTGTTATATTATTCTGATTTCCTATATCATAAAAATTATTTCGTGACTTGGATGTCATAATTGAATAAATTGTAAAAATAGGGTATTGCAAAAAAAGTTTAAAAGGGTAGTCATGTAAATTTAATCCGTTCGATTAAAGAGTATAATTAAGGTCGATTTGTCGATTTGACTTTAGTAAAATCTATGAAAAATACGCATACTAATTATTATTTATTTATAAATAAATACGAAATTGTAACAGAGTATTGAATCGTTAACGAGTAATAGATCTAGTGAGACGAAACTACTAAGCATTCCATGGATTCACCGTGCGGGTGCCGGGTCCATCGCGTTGCAGGGAGAGGAGCTTCAACAGTGCCTGGTACTTGCGACCCAAGTGTAGGTTTAAGGGGCCCCTTAACTAACGCGCGTTATACGCTCACCTCCACTGTCCAAGCTCCTCTCCCTACCTAACCAAATTTGAAAAGAACCTACTAGGGCTGCCTTCGATGTACGTTCAGAGAATGCATTAATGTGAGTTCTCGACAAGCCCAAGTCCTTTAGTAGGTTGTAGAGAGATTTCGCTGTTATACCTCTCGCTCCCACCTCTACCGCGTACAAATCTACTACGAACCTATTTCGAGTGAGTTCGTTTGCGAGCTCGTAATATTTGTTGACCTTGATGGTATGGTCTTTGGGGATGTTGGTTTCCCAAGGGACCGTAAGCTCTATCATCACTACGCGCTTTAAAATTCGCGAAAACAAAAATATATCCGGTCTGGAGGCCGACGCACAAATATCCTCGGGGATTTTATATTGCTTTTCATACGTGTCCATCATTATAGTCCAATCCGACGCCGCTTTAAGGATGGAGTAAGGCTTGACGTTTGATTTTGTAGCCCTAGTGCCTTCTCTCACAAAACCTACTGATCGTTCGTTTGTGGTTATTTCCTTTTGCGCTCTGGCTACCGAAAGACTAACCGCTTCACGTATGACTTCTAGAACCCTATCGTGACGACGCGAGTATTGACCGCTGTCCAGGAGTACCTTACATCCCACCAGCAGATGCTTAGCAGTTCCAACTGCCTTTCCACAGATATAGCAAGTTTTTTCGGTACTTTTACCCCATCTTACTAAATTACTCTGATCTGGGAGAGTCATCTGGAACGCATTGAGATAGAATTTTAGCAATGCTGGCGACCAATCATAAATTAAAGTGCGCCATTTTAATGCTAATGGGATGCAAAAATCTCCTATGTCTAACCACTCGTTCTGCATTTCTAAATTCATTGCATGGATCTTATATTTATCATTCTCGTCTTGCCGAATAAAAGACTTCAATATATCCGCATCTTGGTCTTTCCTATTTGATCCTAACCCCGCTCTGTTACTTTGTGCTCCTGTCATAAATTGCTTATGGAATTGAAGTCGTGACTCTAGCTCGGGGGCATCTTCATCTTTTGGGAGCGATGTCACCATGTCATCATGGGATTTCCCCAGGATATATCTCTTGGAAACTCTTAGGTGTTTATAGAGCTCCGATGGCCTTTTTAGACTCATCCCAAAACTATTGCTTCCCCTAAATAACGCCGATGAATCAGCCGTTAGAGCGAGCCCGAGCCACAACTTCAACATCTTTATGACGCCTGCATCTAACTTTGACAAAAGGGTTTTATTAAAATCATAGACGAGGAAAGGCCAATTCAAACGTGAAGTTAAGTAATTCTCGTAGATCCAGGCTTTTTTGACGTTACTTATCAGTTGGCTATCTACCTTGTTAAGATCGTTCAAAAAGCTATCTACTATTCCTTCTAAAGATGGAGTACGGCCTATATTATCAATCTTACATGGTGCATTTTCCGTAACCGTAGAAATGCATTGACCGCCTAACGATAGTCCCGGATCGTATGAGGTATATCTTGTATTCCGCCTACCAAGACACAGACAATGACATTTACTGGGTTTTGTCCTCAATCCATCCGTCCACTCACAGAATTTATCCACTTCATCCAATAGTACTTGACAGTGTTTGGGGTTACGTGTCAGTATTGCGAGATCGTCAGCGAAGGCTAAAATGGATTCCGTGTATTTATTATTAAACTTAAACCAATAACCCAATTTTTTCTCATTACAGATTAATTTGTCTACTAAGATGTTAATAACGATATTAAACGTAATTGGAGATAGACAACAACCTTGAAACAGTCCTACATTATAACTCAAACTTTTTGAAGGGCCTTCTTTAGTTATTATAGAAAACCTTAATTTTGAGTAATACGACGCGATCATATCTCTAACTATTTATATATTTACATTTTGATACCTACAAACATATTTTCCGATGTCATATAAGAAAAACTGGAAGACAATTTACAAGCAACAAAAACTCTGTACAGTTAAAGCAAAAATTATAGACTAATTACGTTTTTGTCATGGCAAATAATGTAATTCTTTATACTTAACCATATTATAAAAAGAAACAGGACACATTTTACACTGAATAACTTTTAACATAAAAGAAATTGTTTTAATTTAGTTAATTAAATAATGTTCGGTATTATTAATCTTTTCTCAAAACAATGAAGTAAGAAAGAGGTCATTTATAGTTTTTCAAATTTGTAAATTTGATTCATCGAATTAGTAACAATGTTTTGGATGCACACAGGCAATTGTTATACTACAATTACTATAAATTTAAGTCAACTGCCTTAGAAATAAAATACAAGAAAAATGGGGTTTTGAATTCCGGTTACAATTCTATTTTAAAAGAATTTAAAATGTGGAATACTTTTTATTAAATTCTATACCTTCAGGGATATTGTAAATAGGAGTTTGTAACAAAATTTCGATTGACTGACCACCTTTAACTGTAAAGAGTCAATTGTAGAACCAATTCCTTTATAAATCAAGTATTTGTCGTTTTATTTACTTTAAAATCGGTCTAAAATTACGTAATCTTATAAAAGTGACGAATTTAAATTTTGTAAGTTCTATTCTACATAATATGTACATACACTGTTCACATGACACAAACTATAATAAAATTACTTCATATTTGATTTATTTCAAATGACTGTAATCAATAAATTTACATTTCCCGTAAGTAGTAATGAGTATCTCTTCATTAGAAGTATTAAGTCAATCCCAAAACGCTATGTCTGGACAATATAATTGGACAAAACTCTATTTTTCCTATACTATTCCTTTGTTAATTTTATTTTTTCTTAATTTTGCAACAGGGAGTTTAAGTGATTATAGGAAGAGTAACGCTAAAGAAGTTGAGATAGTCATGATAAAGAATTTATAGTACCTGTACTACAGAAGAAATAATATAGAAGAATATACAGAAGGTTTATTTTTGTGAATGCCCAAGAAATAAAGACTGATTTTCTTCTAATATTTCAGAAATATTTAGAATTCTAATACTTGAAAAGTAACGACGCAATAACATTATTATATTTGTAACTTATTAATACCCTTCAGTAACTTCTCGCCCCTTAAAGTACAATTTAAGTGTTTTTGTAATTGTAGGATCCCTGGTCCTACATGTAAGTATAACTAGTCACTGGCTCACTACTACCCCGCCTAGAGCGACGCACTTCCCCGTTCTGCTCCGCGCTACTCATTAGACTGCAATTTATTATTATTTATTAATTGTCTGGTCTTCACTAAGCATATTTCCATCATGAACTGATTTACACTCGTGTTAGGTGTATCACGCTCCTTCGTAGCCTTTGTCATATCACTACACGCTACTCTTTTCTTTTCTTTTTTTTTTTAATTTTGATTGTGTCTCTCCGGTCGCCGTTTTAAAGTTATAAGATTCCATTTTAAACACAATCACCGGTGCTGGGTTTTCAGTTAACTTTCTAAAGTGTACATTTTAAATTCCAGAAGTTGAATATGTTGGTAGAATTAGTGGTCGCGGTCAGGTAATGACAAGTGAGAATAAAATAAAAGCTTCGGTTCAATAACATCAGCCACCGCACATCAAATAAATTAGACAATTAGACAATAGTAACAATTAGTTTTAGGTTGCGGATGATCACGGATGACAGTGACCACCTCACATCAAGTAGGTCATTAGCTCGTTTTGTTACCTTCCTCATAAAAAAGATTAAAGCCCCTAACACGAATTGATATTTTGCAACTTTAACACAAGTGTGTGCTCAACATTTCTGTAAGGTCAAAATACGTCATTAGACGAATATTAGTAGATCCAAAGTATATAATAATGATGATATAATCGTAATTGCAAAAACTCCTTAATGTAATGGAAATACATTCAAATTCCATTATTTTTTGTTAAGTATAAACAGAAGCCTTATTACCGACTGTTATTCAATCTGTTTTGTTTGTGAAAAATTGGAAAAAGTCCATTTTTATTTTTTTAATACTTAGTTTATTAAGTATTTGAAATCGAAATGTATTTGGTATATAAAAAACCGTAATTTATTTTACTTCCAACTAAAGTATAACAATTTAAATACATTCTTTCCTGAAACAAAAGCTATTTGGGATAAGATTCTCTGTATCTAACGGAATTTCATTTCAACATTCTTACTGAATAGTTAAATATGATATGATAAATATAAGATCCATGCAATGAATTTAGAAATGCAGAACGACTGGTTAGACATAGGAGATTTTTGCATCCCATTAGCATTAAAATGGCGCACTTTAATTTATGATTGGTCGCCAGCATTGCTAAAATTCTATCTCAATGCGTTCCAGATGACTCTCCCAGATCAGAGTAATTTAGTAAGATGGGGTAAAAGTACCGAAAAAACTTGCTATATCTGTGGAAAGGCAGTTGGAACTGCTAAGCATCTGCTGGTGGGATGTAAGGTACTCCTGGACAGCGGTCAATACTCGCGTCGTCACGATAGGGTTCTAGAAGTCATACGTGAAGTGGTTAGTCTTTCGGTAGCCAGAGCGCAAAAGGGAATAACCACAAACGAACGATCAGTAGGTTTTGTGAGAGAAGGCACTAGGGCTAAAAAATCAAACGTCAAGCCTTACTCCATCCTTAAAGCGGCGTTGGATTGGACTATAATGATGGACACGTATGAAAAACAATATAAAATCCCCGAGGATATTTGTGCGTCGGCCTCCAGACCGGATATATTTTTGTTTTCGCGAATTTTAAAGCGCGTAGTGATGATAGAGCTTACGGTCCCTTGGGAAACCAACATCCCCAAAGACAATACCATCAAGGTCAACAAATATTACGAGCTCACAAACGAACTCACTCGAAATAGGTTCGTAGTAGATTTGTACGTGGTAGAGGTGGGAGCGAGAGGTATAACAGCGAAATCTCTCTATAACCTACTAAAGGACTTGGGCTTGTCCAGAACTCATATTAATGCATTCTTGTAACGTACATCGAAGGCAGCCCTAGTAGGTTCTTTTCAAATTTGGTTAGGTAGGGAGAGGAGCTTGGACAGTGGAGGTGAGCGTACAACGCGCGTTAGTTAAGGGGCCTCTTAAACCTACACTTGGGTCGCAAGTCCCAGGCACTGTTGAAGCTCCTCCCCCTGCAACGCGATGGACCCGGCACCCGCACGGTGAATCCATGGAATGCTGAGAAGTTTCGTCTTATATTTCCTAGTGCTAGCTTTTAACTAAATGTTATTCTGACCACTTGAATATCTTAAGTTGAGTATTATAGGAAATTATTTTACGTACTCAAAGATAATTAAAAGTTATTGAATATTTGTATCTACATTAACATAATATTTAACTGCTTTTGATTGGATCCAATGTTCAGTCATTGTATTATGATTTAATAGATATTAAAAGAATCACTACATTTAAAGATTTTAGTTATCTATACAATTTGATTTTTAATTTATTAATGCTGCTGGATTACAAAAAGCATTGTTAAGTAAAAGTTTATTTTCCTTGAATGTTCATTTCTATATTTATTAAAGTGTAGTGACGTCATATGGTTTTGGATTTCAGTCATCAAAGTGTGTTACGTGTCATCTCCAAAATTCCAGATAATAACATTTTAAGGCTGTTCTAGGTGCTGGAAAAAATATTATTATAATTATATTTATGCCTTTTTTCCATTTGGTAAACTCCTTAATACTTAATCAACACTCAAGATTATAGTTCGTCCTAATTCCATTACGACCGAAGCCATACCATGTAAAAAATAACGTTATAAAACATTAACACTCATTTATTAATACAACCAAAACATTGAATATGTATTTACCTGTCCAGAATATTATGGAATTATTAATTTCATGTTATACTATTTATTGCAATAAGAATTGTAAATAATACGCTTTGAATAACTGAGTAGAGGTTCAAAATTGTGTTGATAGTCATACCAGATACCAGGATCAACTATGTATATTCAGATTCAACTTGATAAGAACATACGAGTACATACGAGTAAGTACATACGAGTGCGTCAAAATGACAATGCACCTGTTATGTACATCCGTTCCGAGAAAGACCTCAGTAAGTTGTGATGGTTTTATATATATTTAATTATGTGTCACTTCCTTTTCGTCTGGCATGCTTATGCATGCATTCTACGTCGGCTCATTCACTTATTAATTATGTTATCAATCATGGAGTATATAAATAAATTTAGAAAACTTATCATATTCATAGGTGTGTTAAATGGAAAGCAATATACCGCTAGAATGCATGCATACATTGTTAATTCGAGGAACTTATTTCACATTTGTTCTTTATCCGCGTTCCTAACAATAGCACTGCTCGATTTTTATTGTTGCTACTTACTATTAAGAATTCAACATAAAAATAACTTTTTAAACACAAGAGAAATATATTACAACACTTGTATTATTACCAAACAATTGTGTCTACTGCCATTCTTACATAATAATTTTGTTTATGTTCATGGTATATGTTTCTATGTTTGTGGCATATACCATGGTAACCTATCTCGATATATGAAACGTGATGTAACAATTGTAACTAATCGTATCCTTGCGATACATTGCAGCCAGTATGTAAGATATTTCTTAAAGCGTAGTACTTGTTCTTTATTAGAATCAGTTCATACAAGAATAATGTTCTTGACCTTAAATCGATTACACTTTCTGTATCAGATAGGGAATTATCTTGTTATAATGTGCATGTTTTTTGTATGCTTTACAACTTATAATATACTTGTTTTATTTGATTCACATAGGGTAATTAAGCTTGTTAACTTTATAGTCCTGTCAATTGTTTTTTATTTTATTTACTATACATTTCGAATTCGCTATTTAGGCAGTTATCTTATATTTTTGTTGTCAGATGTCTGTTTACATATTTTTTGTAAAGGGTGCGGTGAATGTGCAGGGAAGCTAAATATTAATAGTAATCATTTTTATATAATAATGACTATAAATAGCCTAAGTATTTATTATCAAAACTGCGGTGGTCTTAAATCAGAATTGAGTGATTTCCGAATTAATAATATGTCACAAGATTATGACGTCATAATTTTGACTGAAACCTGGCTGCAACCGGGTATACATGATTCTGAATTAATAGACAATAGGTATCAAATATATAGGCGCGATCGAGATTTGCATCTAACAATGAAAAAAGATGGTGGAGGTGTGTTAGTAGCTATTCGTAATAATATTATGTCCAAAAGGTTTTCAAATTGGGAAAATGCTTGTGTTGAAGAAATTTTCGTTACAATTACTTTATACAATAAAAAAATTATCTTAGGAGCCGTTTATATTCCACCAGCTGCGCCTCGCAATGTTTATGATTTTCAAAATTTACAGTCTATCTATAGTAACAATTGCGATAGCTCATATTGCATTATAGGAGACTACAATCTACTCGATATTGTCTGGGATTCTGATGGTCAAATGAATACAACGAACATAGATATGCCCTTGTTAGGAACCATACGGAATCTTAATGACACACTATCTTTTTTAAATTTAAATCAGTTTAATGTAGTTAAAAACAGTAATGACAGAACATTAGACCTAGTTTTTTCTAATAAAGAATGTTCGGTACAATCTGCTCCCGATCCACTAAATAAACCAGGTATTCACCATCCCCCGCTAGAAATATTACTGTCTGATGTTAGATATCGCTGTCTACCTTCTGTATACGTGTTAAAATATAATTATTATACAGCCGATTATAACGCTATAAACGCTAAATTAAATAGTTTCGATTGGTTGAATGAACTAAGTTCGTTGGAACCAGATAGTGTTGTACAAAAGTTTTATGATATTATACATGAAATTTGTAGGCTATATATACATGGTGGATATATTTTCATTTTATCCACCTCTGGATTTTATTTATGATACACATTATAAATGGGGGGCCTAAAGAATATTAAAATTGGATTTTTAAACCCTGGCTCGCTTAGTACACACCACGAAGAATTTTTAGTTGCCTTGGAACGTCACAACGTTGACATTTTGGCCCTTAACGAGACATGGCTTCGAAGTGGAGAGGAGGGGCGGGCACCGAAGGTCGCGGGTTATCGCCTGTGCCATTTACCCAGACCGGAAGCAGTACGTTCGCGTGGCGGCGGTGTAGGATTTTATGTCAGACGTGGCTTGTCTACACAGTTTCCTAAACATCCAAATGAAACTAGGGTTGAACAAATGTGGCTTAGGACTCGGCATAGTAATAAAACTATTATAATTGGCACAGCTTACAGACCACCATGGTTAAACGTGCAAGACTTCCTGGACGCTTTAACCGAATCGATTGCGTCTTTACCCGTTTATGATTATATTATCTTATTGGGGGACTTCAACATCAATCTCCTGAATAAACAAGACAATCACTCAATACTCTTTAAAAATTTTTTGGACTATTTTAGCTTAATACAACACGTTTCCGAGCCGACACATTTTACTAGCCATAGCCAAACGTTGATTGATCTTGTTTGTTCCAATATAATTGATATTAAGGTGTATATTGATTATATCAGTGGTCTAAGTAGCCATTCTTTCCTATCGTTTGAGCTTAATATTGTGAAAGAAAAAATACGCCCGAGAAAAAAGAAATTAAGACCTATTAGAGACATAAACATAGATCAACTTAAAATTATGTTAGATTGTATTGACTGGCATACTTATTCTAATCTTGACTATTGTATAGATTTTCTTGTTTCTCATTTTACAACTAATATAACGAATATTTTTGACATCTTAGCTCCTCTTAAAACTATATATATAAGACAAAATCACTACCCATGGGTTACATATAATGTTAAAAGAATGATGAAATGTCGCAATGAAGCTCATTGCAAAATGCGTTCTGATGATAGCGAGGCTAATAGGGAACGCTACAAAACAATGAAAAAATTTGTAAATGAAGCAATTGTAAATGAAAGGAATGCCTACTTTAACTGTTATATAAATTGTAACTCAAAAAACTCCAAAGTGATGTGGAAACATCTCAATAAACATCTTGAGGTAAAACCAAAGTCGGATCTAATCTTACCGAGTCAATTTAATGACCCTCAGGCTGTTAACAATCATTTTTTGAATATCCCTGGTAATGATTATGTCTCTCCGCAAATCATTCAAAAATATTCTACATCAAAATTCTGCACAGAATCCTTCTACCTAAAATCGGTTAATGAGGATACGGTGTCAAAAATTATTCACAGTCTCAGATCAAACGCCATCAGTAAGGATGGAATCTCCTTGGATATGATTATGATGACACTTTCTTACACCCTCCCTGCTATTACAAATATTGTCAATAAATCCATTCTGTCTAGCAAGTTCCCTGACCTATGGAGGGAGGCTCTTATTAAACCTGTACCAAAATTGAATAATCCAACTACCTTGTCTGACTTACGTCCTATCAGCATACTTCCTTGTTTGTCGAAAGTACTGGAAAAAGTGGTCTACATGCAACTATCCGAATTTTTAGAAAACAATAAAATCCTACCTGACGTTCAGTCGGGCTTTAGAAAGCATCGTAGCACTACTACCGCGCTCACCACGGTTGTAGACGACATTCTTAGTGCCCAAGACTCCGGAAAAGTTACCCTGCTGGTGTTGTTAGATTACTCTCGAGCGTTTGAAACTGTAAATATCTCCTTACTGCTGGCAAAAATGGCGTACTTTGGTTTTGATAGAACCGCTATAGATTGGTTTGCAAGCTATTTATCTAATAGAAGACAATCAGTGGAATTAATAGGTGAAGATGGTACCATAGCTTGTTCACCTTGTTGTCCAGTAACACGAGGCTTGCCCCAAGGTTCAATCCTAGGGCCTTTATTGTTCATATTATATACGGCGGACGTAACGAGTTGTATTATGAATTGTGATTGTCATGTTTATGCAGATGATTTACAAGTTTATACATCATTTCACTTGTCGAACACGGAAACTGCCGTTAAAAATTTAAATGATGATTTAAATAGAATATTTGCATGGTCACAGTCCCACACTCTAGTTTTGAATGCAAAAAAAACTAAATATATGATTCTTGGCACAAATAAACATATAAAACATTTATCTAGTAATAGCCCTATCATATCCATAAACAATGAAATTATTGACAGAGTCACAGAAGCTAAAAATCTGGGCGTCATCATGGACGACAGCTTGCGATTTGAAAAGCAAGTTATTAATACTGTCCGTAACTGCTTTTACCGTTTTAAATTATTGTACCGTATACGAGAGTCCTTATCATTTGAATTACGTGTAACATTGTGTGAATCACTGGTGCTGTCAAAATTAAATTACGCCGATACAGTGATAGGGCCACGGATGCTTGCACGCTCGAAAACGGCTATTCAGAAAGTACAGAATGCCTGCGCTCGTTATTGTTTCAACATTCCTCCGCGTGCACATGTAACTCCTTACATAAATGAAGCCAAATCCTTAAAGACTGACTACCGCAGACAATTGCATTTCGCTTTACTTTTATTCGGAGTCATTAAATCCAAGTCTCCGGGATATCTCTATGATAAACTTTTGTGGTCATCGGTTGTAAACACTAATCACTCCACCAGGGCGAATCCTTATTTACTGTTAGTGCACCCACATCGTACTGCAGCCTTTCGTGGATGTTTCAGATATGCCGCAGCCAAATGCTGGAACAATCTGCCGCCCCCACTTCGTGACTTAAAATCGTTAAATACTTTTAGACTAAAATACAAGTTATTCTTGTTTAATCTACAAATTGAACAATATGTAGATTAAACAAGAATAACAATAGTAACAATAGTAACAATAGTAATAATACTAATAATAATAAATTATCATATTCACAAATTTACATATATATTGATTTTGATATAAACATTTAATAGTATAAATGTTAGTATTTAGTTAAAAACATACCTATAATTACATGGCCAATTTGCTTAATGCAGATTGTTTTATGTCATATTGGTTGCGGAGTGTCTGTCCCAATTATAGTTTTTGGGAGTACTATTATCGTCATCTCTAGGGCAACACAAAACATTTGTATATAAAAAAAAATATTTACCTAAATTTTTATTTGTTTCGTTATAGCCCCTGTCGCCATAACATACCATGGCGCTGTCATTGAATTGAGTCAGAGTAACCGTTCTTTAGATTGAATTTTAAGTTTAGATTTATCATTATTTCTTTAATCTTTAATTCTTTAATAATTTATTTGCCACGCTTACGCGCCCGTACGTCACCGTCACATGGAGGCCTCTGAAAATCAGTGCTGGGATTGTATTATGCCAGCTTTAACTGATGGGGTTTTCCATTTTGGATGCCACACCAGTACAAAATTTATTTACACTTTCTTTTTGTTTTAGTCTTTTTAATTATTATAATATTTCTATTTTTCTTTTTTCTTTTTTATAGCTTTGTGGTAGGAAATCTTTTTTAGTTTATATAATTTAATTTAGACTAAGTAACCATAGATGTAATTATTCTTGTAAGTTAGCTATAAGTTTATTTTCTTGTTTAGTTATTATTATTCTTTTTTTTTGTATTTTAATATTTCCTTATTGTTTATATTTTATTTTATTTTTCTCATGTTGTGGTGTGGACCAAATAAAGTTTTTATCTATCTATCTATCTATCTAATTTCATGTGACAAACCGGTATTGTGTTTGTAGTTTAAACTCTTAAAACCATTTAGTATTTGCGGGATAAATTTAGAAAATCTTTGTTTTTCACATGGGCAGTTATATGTACTTTGCGTGTTCAGGAATTCGGAAACCAAAAAACCAAAAAACAAAAAATATGGTTTACAAAGGAGCACTTCAATGAAACGGATAATTTGCGGACACGTATAACGCTTCGATTCGGAATCTACTTTGGATTCACTTTTATTTACTTAGAGAAGTTCAACTAAATAACACTACATTTTTGTAATCGAAATGAATTCATTACTGTTGTGAACGAAATTAAAAATTTCCTTTTCAAATATAAAACAATAAAAAAATTCTTCATCTTTTAATCACCAAACGAAATGTTACATAAAACAAAGCCTGGTGGCGAAACGGAGTTCGCCGGGTTTACTAGTCTCAGTCTGTCCGTGATCACGGTTGCTGAAAAGTAGCCGAAACGTTGGGAGTATGTAGTTTTTATCAGAAATCAAGTCGCGTAGTATATCCGAAAAATATAAGTTTCATTTACAATAAAATGAGTTCAATACACACATTAATACGTATAATATTTTTCAGGTCAACTGAAAGAGCATCAGATTCGAGACCACAACCCGTTCGAGGAGGTTCTACCTCTGTGTTCTACTGAGCACTTGATTAACCTGCCCAAGGTATGTACGTCATATAACTCTACTGCTACTTGTATATACTGCTACTTATTTATCTACAATTAACAAACTGCAATTATATAATAATATATTATTTTCAGAACAAAGCCCGCCCTCCCATCAAGGACGTCGCGTGACACGCCATCAGCGACACGTATGAAGGTGTCACGTTGGTCATACAAGAGGGTCTTCTGTGTCGCGAGTGTGACACGCCGCTTGACAGTGACAAACACTTCCTGTTAGTATAACCACTTGATAAAACGACGCTGCAAACATTGAATACAATCAGATTTATTGAATGTCAGTAAAGTTTTTCCTTTATCATGTTGAAAACACTCATGAACTTTTACAAAAAAATGTTATTTTAGTAGCTCTTATTATATTGTGATATCATCTTTTTAATATTTCTATATTTTCTAATGAAGAAAGATTAGATAAATAATATACCAAATGTTTAATACATACTAAAGTATAATTTTAATATTCTCAATATACAGCGGTCGCACGTCGCGCAGCAAGTGTCCATATGCTACATCATGTTACCGAGCGATGTTGAGACACAGTGGATATTGCGCCGGCTCACTTTCACTGGAGGCCGCTCCTAGACCCGCTCCCACGCTATACTGCGTCTGCGAATACTCTACAGATATAAGTCAGTTTACACTGGTTATAGGATGTCAATCAATATAATATATTTTCATTTTCTTTTATAAATTTTATAACTAACTATGTAACTGTTAGACCAGCAGCATATATAGATCAATATAAAATATACAATTAACCAATGACTATAGTAACTAATAAAATATTAAGATTTTAATCCCCAGACGGCATCGTTAAATTAAAGAAGTATGTAGTATTAACAGATTTTATTGTCACGACGCAAAAATTGTATACAGTTCGTAAATATTTGCAATTCTTTATGAAAAACTTTGTTGTTCTAATATAATATTACTCCAGGCACGGATATTCTATCTCATCTCCTCGTGACACAACACACAAGCGCGTACTTAACTGAGGAACTAGCATGAGCCAACACCGTCAGGGAAGAACCAAAACCTGCTGATGAAGTAGAGCCTGTGAGTATCTACTAGTGATTACTCATACTGTTTTGCGATTATATTATAATATATTATGACATTTGCCGCTCAATAAGCTTAAATAGTGCCTAGTTTTAACAAAATAAACCAAATTTTCATGTCACATAAAATCAAAATAAAATTTTCATGTCTTAATAACAATTTTATAGAACATATTTGCTCTTTATTCAAAACTTATAAAGTAATTTAAAAACGGCTTAAATAAACATGCGTTTCGTAAGGAGGAATTCATTTATTTCAGTTTCAATATTAATTTTAAGAGGTCACATCAAATAGTATACTACGTAGAAGAAATTAAAATCATCGTATATCTGTCTTCAGATGATTCCAGTGTACGCTGAAGGCTGTGAGCTGACGGCCAACGTGCTCCTCTACATGGACCATCTCAAACAACACCAGGACAAGGAGCTGGAGATTAAATGTACGAGATGTGTGCTGAGATTCGTACGTCTCGGTGAATAATACAACTGTAAGTACTATATAAACAGATGAAACTAATATTTTATTATTTTAAAAACTATTATATATACATCCGACGTTTCGGTTACTTGTCAGCAACCATGATTAAGGCAGACGAGTTGTCGGGAGTGTGTTGTTTTTAATAATAATAAAATACGCAAAGTATTCCGAAAATATTACTTTCATTTAAATTAATACTCGCAAGTCTTAAATCTGCTATATAAAAATAAGTCCGTTCTTTCTTCCTGACGCAACTCCAGAACGACCGAACCGATTTCCAGGGTTTTGCATTCGTTGGAAAGGTCTCTGACTCCGTGAGGTTTATAACAAAAAAAAATTCAGGAAAATTTTCAACAGAAAAGCGGGACAATCTTTTTTTCACATACAGCGCCATCTCTGATACGTAACAGTACTACAAATCAATATTTTAAGTAGATGGTGCCGGTGTATGATACATTGTTTGAAGGCTACTCATTGTTCTCTGCTCAGTTAATTTCATGTGACAAACCGGTATTGTGTTTGTAGTTTAAACTCTTAAAACCATTTAGTATTTACGGGATAAATTTAGAAAATCATTGTTTTTCACATGGGCAGTTATACTTTGCGTGTTCAGGAATTCGGAAACCAAAAAACCAAAAAACAAAAAATGTGGTTTACAAAGGAGCACTTCAATGAAACGGATAATTTGCGGACACGTATAACGCTTCGATTCGGTATCTACTTTGGATTCACTTTTATTTACTTAGAGAAGTTCAACTAAATAACACTACATTTTTGTAATCGAAATGAATTCATTACTGTTGTGAACGAAATTAAAATTTTCCTTTTCAAATATAAAACAATAAAAAAATTCTTCATCTTTTAATCACCAAACGAAATGTTACATAAAACAAAGCCTGGTGGCGAAACGGAGTTCGCCGGGTTTACTAGTCTCAGTCTGTCCGTGATCACGGTTGCTGAAAAG